CTACAGAGTAAGACAGAAATTTGTCCGTGCAGGTCCCCATCTTTGTATTGCCCCCAAATAAGGGAACCTCCCGATATTCGGTATTTAGATGATTTTAGCGATATTATTCACCGGAATTGTTTCTAATTTGGTATTTGAAGTTCGTAATGGATGCTACAGCCTATGAGAGAAATTTTTCTATGCAGGTCTACGTTGTGGTATAGCCTCATATAACGGTACCTCCCTATATTAGGTATTTCCATAATGCAGGTCCACGTCGTCGTATAGATCTTAATATAACGGCTACATTCGGTATTTGAAAAAAAAATTAAAATTCCTAATTTCGTTCCAAGTGGTGAAAGTTTTTCTAAGTTCGGCAGGGCCATAGCTTTTTTTGCAGGGTTGCCCATATATATATATATATATATATATATATATATATATATATATGGGAGCTATATCTAATTCTGATACGATTATCTCAAATTTCAATAGGGTTCATCCTTGGGCCAAACAAGTATTGTTTGGAAAATTTCATCTCAATCGGATAATAAATGCGATCTGCATTTTTTTTTACAAAAATACATGGAGAGACGGGCTGACATACATAAATCGACTCAGAAAGTGATTCTATGAAGATCCCCAAAAGTAACTATGGGTCTATCCCACTTCCTTCTTCATGTTACAATCAAACGCACAAAGACATAATATCCTGTTGCCCACTACGTGGTGTGGGGTATAAAAAAGAAATAGGAATTTTCATTTCCATACGCCGCGATCACATGCAAACGCACGACGTATGACATGCGTAACATGGAAATGACGGAAGTAACGTAAGAACCCAAAAAAAGAACACACTCGCACACACACTCATACACACACACACCAAAAAAGAAAACGTGGAGTAGGCAACTACGTCGCAAGAACAAGCATTATTATTACACTTAATTTCCGCCGCTTTTTTTTTGCATAAATGTGACAATGCTTCTTATTCTCCGTTGTCACTTTGTTCATTACGTTTTCATACTGCCACATCATACATGTATGATTTGCCTGTGAATGGATCTGTGTGAGTGCGTGTGTTTGAAATATACTTTAATATAATCATTATGAAAACTGAATCGCTTAACGCAAAACGCTTTGGCTGCAACAAAAGAAGCCTTGTCAAGGAATAAAGCAAAAAAAAAAAAAAAATTCAAATGAATATTAAAACTTCCGGAAAATTCATTTCGAAAATGGGTATTCTTATTGGACAGTGTTCGCATAGGGAATGGGGGAAAATGAATATCTAGAAGTAGAAGAAGATATATCCAAACCAAAAGAATGTTTAAGGAATTTCGAAGGAATAGTCAGTTTTTGAAAAAAAAAAAAAAAAACAAGTTAAAAAGAAGTAAGTTCAGCCGCGCCAAACTTTGATTATCCTCCACCATTTGGAACGAATTTGGAAATTTTCAAAAAATAAAATCCTTAAAAAAATCTGTTGAAATTTTAAAAATACCGAATATAGCCCTTATATTGGGGTCTATACGACGTGGACCTACATAAGCATTGTTTGCCATTAGCCATTGCCATATTCAAATTCGAAACTTGAAATAAACGGTGAATAATGTAGCTAAAATCATCAAAATACGGGATATTGGTAGGTACTGTTATAGGGGGGCTATACGAAGACCTGGACCTGCACAGACAACTTTCTGTCATATGCTGCAGTATCCATTATGAATTTCAAATACTGATATATGGGGCCTATACGAAGACCTGGACCTGCATAGATAATTTTCTGTCACAGAGTGTAGTTCCCATTACGAACTCTAAATACGTAACTTGAAACAATTCAAGTGAATAATGACGCTAAAATCGTCAAAATACCGAATATGTGGAGGTACCGTTATATATGGCTATACGAAGACGTGGACCTGCACAGACAATTTTCTATCTTAGGCTGTAGTATCCATTTCGAACATCAAATATCAAACTTGAAACAATTCCGGTGAATAATGTCGCTAAAATCATAAAAATACGGAATATCGGGAGGTACTGTTAAAGGAGGATATACAGGGTTGCCCATATTCGACGAACCTTTGGGCCCATTCCATTCGACGAGGCTTGTCCGCAGGCAACATTCTTTGCGTCAATTGAATTTTGTACGGGAACAAATGCAAATCAATGCGAATAATCCGTTGTAAAGTGGACCGAGCCATGCCCAACTGCTGAGAACGGCGTTTTTGGGATGTTCTTGGGGACCTCTCAACACTGGCTCGTACGGCAGCGATATTCTCGGCCGATCGCCTTGGTCGGCTTTTATATGGGCTCTTCGGATTAGAAAGAGTCTTACCAGTCGAAAATTTTTCGTATAAACGCTTAATGGTGTTCTTAGAAGGCGCACTTCTCACATTCTTTAATGTTTTAAAAGGACGTCGAGTTTTCACAATTGACTTCTTGTAAATTTCAACTATTTCAGAGCGCTCGCGTGGCGTGTATTGGTTCATAGTAAAAATCTGCTTGGACTGACGCTTCAAACGCGGTATGTCATTAAGCGATGTGACATCTCTGTCAAAAGATATGGCGTTGCCAGATGGATCCGTCGAATATGGGCAATCCTGTACAATTAAAGGATAGGGATGTGAAATTGAGGTATAGAGGTGGTTTTGGAAATGTGTACTACAATTGTTCGATAAGTACTAAATAGTACAAAATTTGGTATTGGGTAAAATGATAGAGATAAAATTCTGAAATTTGATATTTAGATTTCTAATGGTATCTGCTGTTGAGACATGAAGGTGCTTTGAAAATGTGTACGATAATTGTTCGAAATATATTTAATAGCACTACATTTGGTTTTGGTTGAAAGGATTGGGCTGGCAATCTCAAGTTTGATATTGAGGTCTCTGTTGGTATCTGGGATTGAGATATGGAGGTGGTTTCACAAATGTGTACTTTATTTGCACTAAGAGTACTAAATTGTACTCAAGTTGGAATTGGGTAAAGGTAGTACTAAATTTGGTAGAATTTATTATGGGTTGAGCAGATAGCGCTTGAAATCTGAAATTTGGTATTACGATCGCTGTTCAAGTGTATCCTGGACATATGAAGGCGGTTTCGGTAATGTGTACTATAATTGTGCGAAAAGTCCTAAGTCGTACTAAGTTTGGGAATGGGTGAAGGGATGTAATTGTACGAAAAATACTAAATAATACAATTTTATGGTATTGAGTGAAGGGATGGAGGGTGATATCGTGAAATTTGCTAAAGATGTTGCTGTTGGTGTCTGGGGTGCAAATATGGAGCAGATTTTGGAAATGTTAATTAAAATTTTACGAAAAGTGCTAAATGGTACTAAACGTCTACGACTACGGTCGAAAACGTAAAATTTGATATTGATGTCTCTGTTGGTATCTGAAATTAAGCTGTGGAGGTGGTTTGAGAAATGCATCCTATATTTGTACGAAAAGGACTAAAAAGTACTAAAGTTGATATTGGGCGAAATAATAGAGCTGAAATTCTGATTTTATTTTTTCATTTAAATTACTGATGGTATCTGTGTTTGAAATTCGGCGGTGGTTTGGAAATGTGTCCTATATTTCCATATAAATTTGGTATTGGTTGAAGGGATAGAGATGGAATCCTCAACTTTGATATTAAAATCCCAGCTGTTATCTGTGTTTGAGATTTGGCAGTGGTTTAGAAATGCGTCCCATATTACTACGAAAAGTACTAAATAGTACCTAATTTGGAAGTGGTGAAAGAATTTTGAATCCTGAAATATCCTATAGATTTCGCTGTTCGTGTCTGTGGTGAAGATATGGAGGATATTTTGTAAATGTGTACTAAAATTGTACGAAAAGTCCTAAGTGGTACTAAATATGGTATTCGGTGAAGGGATACGGCTGAAAACCTCAAATTTCATATTGAGGTCCCAGCTGGTATCTGTGTGTGAGATTTGGCAGTGGTTTAGAAATGCGTCCCATATTTCTACGAAAAGTACTAAATAGTACTAAATTTGGAAGTGGATGAAGGAATTGAGGTGACTTCTTGAAATATGCTACAGATTTCCCTGTTGGTGTCTGTCGTGAAGATATGTAGCATATTTTGGAAATTTGTACTAAAATTGTACAAAAAGTGCTAAGTGGTACTAAAACTGGTATTGTGTGAAGGGATTCGGCTGAAAACCTCAAATTTGATATTGACGTCTCTGTTGGTATCTGAAATTAAGATATACAGGTGGTTTTGGAGATGAGACCTATATTTGTACGAAAACCACTAAATAGTACTAAATTTAGAATTGGTGGATATAGGTGTCACTTTTGGTGTCTATTAAGGTTTAGATATTAAGGTGGTATTGTAAATGTGTATTACATTTGTTCGGAAAGTGGTACTAAATTTAGTGTGGAGCTTGAGCCCTCTATAATTTGATATTGAGGTCTCTGTTGATATTGAGGTCTTTCTTGGTATCTGGGATTAGGATATTTTAGTGGGTGTGGAAATGTGTACTAAATTTTTACGAAAAAATCTAAATAATACTAAATTTGGTATTTGATGAATATATAGAGCTGGAAGACCGAAATTTAAAATTTGATATTTAGGTCTCTGGTGGTGGTTTTACAAATGTGTATCATAGTTGTTCGAAAATACAAAATTAAGCATTTTTTTTTAATTAAAAAAAATAAATTTATAATTTTTTTTTGCTTTTCTTCCAAAATCTTCCAAAAAATATACAAGAATTACCGCAGGGAATTTAAAAAAAAAATTGGGATTACATCTGCTTTTTGTTACCAGTTTTTGAAAGTCAGATTCTTTGAGTATGACTCTATTGGAGGTCATGTAGTACATTTTTTAGAACTCTTTCCTTTGTTTCCGTACATTCTGTGAGAATATTAACGCATTTCCCTCTATACATTGCTTTTTGACTTCAAATGTAACCAGTATCTGTTTGTTTTCTCTTTTTTTTCTCTCTCTCTCCCCCTCTCGTCTATGTACGTCGTCCTGCTCGTCCTTGTGAAATGCACACACACGCAGCCCAATGTAAACATCCTTTGGGTATGGAATCTGGAGCCATAGCAGATTTTCAAATAAGCGCCAGCACAGCCCATGATATGGGCAATGTGGGACCACAACATGCCAGGTAAGTTTAGACAAGAGTACACCATCAAATATGTATATATGTCTGTGTGAGTGAAGTTGCATAAAAATTCCATCAACCGGGTGGTTGGCCGGGTGGAAGTGAAGTCCAGAGCAAAGAATACACACAACATGAATCTACCCGGCATTGTACTTAGTTAAATAAATACAACTTCTGCAACAATTTGAAAAAAAAAACAGGTTGCGAAACAACATAACAAGGACATAATGACAGAATGGGGAATGTAATTCTGAATGCAAAATGTGAAGGTTGAAGAGTTTCGTTTTGCTGTTTTCATTTGTCATTTAAAGGACTATGACTCTCATTTTACTTGTGGCTCTTTAGAAAAAAAAAAGAAAAATCTGAAAAAAACATTCAACATCCTCATTAACATCACAAAAAAATATCATAAAGGAGATACATTTACCACTACATCCACACACAAACGATCAAAAATCCGTTTGATATATATCATTTTCTGTGCTCAAGAATAAAAGGACGAGGCCAGGTTTTTCTGATGCTTTTGAGCCTGCACACAACTGAATGTTGTTAATGTGAACGACGGAGATACTCATAATCCGGCAAAGCCAACACCCATTAACCAAATGTGACAGTTGAAATTATTTATCATTTTAAATTATTATGAATTATTTGATGGGGTTTTCCATGTCCTTGAAGGTCCTTGGAAAAATATTCTTTAAAAAATCCACGTTTCTTGGTCTGAAGGTCCTTGGAAAAATATTCTTTAAAAAATCCACGTTTCTTGGTCTGAAGGTCCTTGGAAAAATATTCTTTAAAAAATCCACATTTCTTGGTCTGAAGATCCTTTGAAAAATATTCTTTAAAAAATCCCCATTTCTTGGTCTGAAGGTCCTTTGAAAAATATTCTTTAAAAAATCCACGTTTCTTGGTCTGAAGGCCCTTGGAAAATTATTCTTTAAAAAATCCACATTTCTTGGTCTGAAGATCCTTTGAAAAATATTCTTTAAAAAATCCCCAATTCTTGGTCTGAAGGTCCTTTGAAAAATATTCTTTAAAAAATCCACGTTTCTTGGTCTGAAGGTCCTTGGAAAAATATTTTTTAAAAAATCCACGCTTATTTAATCCTTGAAAAAATTATTTTTAAAAAATCCACGTTTATTTAATCCCTGAAAAATATTCTTTCAAAAATCCACGTTTCTTGGACTGAAGGTCCTTGGAAAAATATTCTTTCAAAAATCCACGTTTCTTGGACTGAAGGTCCTTGGAAAAATATTCTTTCAAAAATCCACGTTTCTTGGACTGAAGGTCCTTGGAAAAATATTCTTTAAAAAATCCACGTTTCTTGGTCTGAAGGTCCTTGGAAAAATATTCTTTAAAAAATCCACGTTGGTCTGATGGCCCTTGAAAATTTTTTTTTAAAAAAAATCCACGTTTATTTGGTCCTTGAAAAAATATTTTTTTAAAAAAATCCACGTTTATTTGGTCCTTGAAAAAATATTTTTTAAAAAATCCACGTTTATTTGGTCCTCGAAAAAATATTTTTTAAAAAATCCACGTTTATTTGGTCCTCGAAAAAATATTTTTTAAAAAATCCACGTTTATTTGGTCCTTGAAAAAATATTTTTTAAAAAATCCACGTTTATTTGGTCCTTGAAAAAATATTCCATAACAAATCCACGTTTATTTGGTCCTTGAAAAATATTCTTTAAAAAATCCACGTTTATTTGGTCCTTGAAAAAATATTCTTTAAAAAATCCACGTTTATTTGGTCCTTGAAAAAATATTCTTTAAAAATCCACGTTTATTTGGTCCTTGAAAAAATATTCTTTAAAAAATCCACGTTTATTTGGTCCTTGAAAAAATATTCTTTAAAAAATCCACGTTTATTTGGTCCTTGAAAAAATATTCTTTAAAAAATCCACGTTTATTTGGTCCTTGAAAAAATATTCTTTAAAAAATCCACGTTTATTTGGTCCTTGAAAAAATATTCTTTAAAAAATCCACGTTTATTTGGTCCTTGAAAAAATATTCTTTAAAAAATCCACGTTTATTTGGTCCTTGAAAAAATATTCTTTAAAAAATCCACGTTTATTTGGTCCTTGAAAAAATATTCTTTAAAAAATCCACGTTTATTTGGTCCTTGAAAAAATATTCTTTAAAAAATCCACGTTTATTTGGTCCTTGAAAAAATATTCTTTAAAAAATCCACGTTTATTTGGTCCTTGAAAAAATATTCTTTAAAAAATCCACGTTTATTTGGTCCTTGAAAAAATATTCTTTAAAAAATCCACGTTTATTTGGTCCTTGAAAAAATATTCTTTAAAAAATCCACGTTTATTTGGTCCTTGAAAAAATATTCTTTAAAAAATCCACGTTTATTTGGTCCTTGAAAAAATATTCTTTAAAAAATCCACGTTTATTTGGTCCTTGAAAAAATATTCTTTAAAAAATCCACGTTTATTTGGTCCTTGAAAAAATATTCTTTAAAAAATCCACGTTTATTTGGTCCTTGAAAAAATATTCTTTAAAAAATCCACGTTTATTTGGTCCTTGAAAAAATATTATTTAAAAAATCCACGTTTATTTGGTCCTTGAAAAAATATTATTTAAAAAATCCACGTTTATTTGGTCCTTGAAAAATATTCTTTAAAAAATCCACGTTTATTTGGTCCTTGAAAAAATATTCTTTAAAAAATCCACGTTTATTTGGTCCTTGAAAAAATATTCTTTAAAAAATCCACGTTTATTTGGTCCTTGAAAAAATATTCTTTAAAAAATCCACGTTTATTTGGTCCTTGAAAAAATATTCTTTAAAAAATCCACGTTAATTTGGTCCTTGAAAAAATATTCTTTAAAAAATCCACGTTTATTTAATCCACGCCTTGGTTGATGCTTGAAAAAATATTCTTTAAAAAATCCACGCCTTGGTTGATGCTTGAAAAAATATTCTTTAAAAAATCCACGTTTGATTGGTCCTTTAAAAAATATTCTTTAAAAAATCCGCGCCTTGGTTGATGCTTAAAAAAATATTCTTTAAAAAATACACGCCTCGGTTGATGCTAGAAAAAATATTTTTAAAAAAAACCACGCCTCGTTTGATGCATGAAAAAATATTTTTTTAAAAATCCACGCCTCGGTTGATGCTTGAAAAAATATTTTTTAAAAATCCACGCCTCGGTTGATGCTTGAAAAAACTTTTTTAAAAAATCCACGCCTCGGCTGATGCTTGAAAAAATATTTTTTAAAAAATCCCCGCCTCTGTTGATTCTTGAAAAAATATTTTTTAAAAAATCCCCGCCTCCGTTGATTCTTGAAAAAATATTTTTTAAAAATATCCACGCCTCGGTTGATAATTGAAAAAATATTTTTTAAAAAATCCACGCCTCGGTTGATGCTTGAAAAAATATTTTTTAAAAAATATCCACGCCTCGGTTGGTTCTTGATTTTTTTTTAAAAAATATCCACGCCTCGGTTGGTTCTTGATTTTTTTTTAAAAAATATCCACGCCTCGGTTGATAATTGAAAAAATATTTTTTAAAAAATCCACGCCTCGGTTGATGCTTGAAAAAATATTTTTTAAAAAATCCACGCCTCGGTTGATGCTTGAAAATATATATTTTTTTAAAAATCCACGCCTCGGTTTATGCTCGAAAAAATATTCTTTAAAAAATCCATGTTCTTGGAAAATCCTTCTCCTCATCCTTAAGTAAATATATTTATTTTCCTATTTGCTCCAAGGTCGTATTCATAAGAATGTATTAAGAATAATTTGCCCAGATAAGAATTGTACTTGAATTTGCCAGGTTGCCAAGCAATCAACCAACCAACCAGCCCTGAATTATACAATTAACCTTAATTTGAACATTAGCCTAAAAGTATGCTTCACTTTTGTGAAACATCCATTACAACGGCCATAAATATTTACGTTTGCTTCACAACTGTAACAACCTTCGCCAAAAAGAGAAAAATAATCTATAATATATAAATTTATGGCAATAGATTTTTATTGGCATTCAAGCAGAAGATTTACTCAACTCTGAAATTATGCGTTTTCTTGGTTGAGGCCAATAAAAATACGAAACAGGGCAGAAATCTTAAAAATCTCTTAGTCGGAAAGCAGGCAAGCACTTGACCTTCATGGCCTGCGAATATATTTCAGGTTTTTTTTGGTGGCTGTTTTGCCATGGTTTCGGCTCGACGTGCTGACAACGCAATGTGTATTTGCGTTAAGTTACGATTTTTTTGGTAAGCTTTGCATTTTTTGCTGCCATGGATACCCACAAGGCAAGTTAGCAAAAGAGAGGGACAGAGTGGCGACGTAGAACATAAACAATATTATGGGATTTAAGACTAATAAAAATGATAAAGTATCCGAAAAAGCTTTAGGCTAATTTTATTGCCAGGCATAACGTCGAAGTTGGCCCCTAAGCATTCTTTGGGTACTTTAGTTGGGAGGAGGATTTTGGGTTTTCAATGCGGCACTTTAAAAATTTTTCCTTCTTTGGAAATTTATTTAAGATTCATATTTTTTTCAAGTAGGTCAAGGAAGCCGAACGAACGAACATCTACCACACTTTATTTTCTGTCAAGCGTAATTTTGCCTTAAAACATACTTAAGTTTGAGAATTTCTTGCAGAAAAGAAACTTTAACTAGCATAGCTTATTATACTTACAAATGCCAAGACGAGCTCTCAACTAACTTACCTTGGGATGTTTTTTTTTTTTTTTTTGTCATAAGGGTACTTGGACATGATTTCATGTTTTAAGTTTTAGAAACTTTTCTTTGCAGATAATTTAATACACCGACTACTTTTTTGATTTTTCTCTTCCTTTTATTGCAAAAATATTAAAAATGCCAAAAATTGTCCTTTCCATAATGTTGTCCTGCGAGGACATTGCGAGAACCATTATTAATAATTGTTATGACAATGAAACTGGCAGCTAACATGGAAAGTCCATTTGGCGATGCCAAAATACCACAAAAAGGACACCCAATAACTCTGGGAGAAAGTAAATGGATG